TATTTTTACCCATTTTACCATGTGTTGCATTGTTGTTGTTGCTATTCGTTGTTTTAAATTTGAATGCAATTTCTAAATACGAGTAGGACAAGTTTTGAGAAAGACGACGACAACGGCTAAGCAAATACTATAAAATAGGCTTGTACTCTCCTCTCTCTCTCTTTTTACGCATTTTTCCACACTCCGAAATGAAAGGCAAAAGTGGCTAGGAGAGAGTCATAGAATTGTTGACAAACGATAGTTTTATTTATGTTATATTTTGTAATTTCTCTTCTCTTTCTAAAGAGAACTAAATTGATTTTGTTAAAATAGGTGAGGGCAAGTTGTGAGTCATTAAGCTTCGCCACAAATGTGGGTTGCCATATATCATTAAATTGTGGCAACTATAGGAGATTTTTGAACATTGAAACTATTTTCATTAATGGTGGTTGTTCTTGAACTCTACTCTACTTCAACATTATTATCTAATAAAGCATTCCTTTGAATATCTTCCGTATCTAGTGAGAGACGCACCCAATGACGTGAAAGACGATCCGGGGTCTGGTGATCAGTAGATGGAGATGTTGGAGAATAAATCCAATATGGCAGGAGGGTTTAGACCAACCCATGAGAAATTGGCGGAGACATGGCGGAGTTACAGGCAAGAAATAAGGAGCTAGAAGTTGTTCTAAAAATATCGGAAGACGCCAATGGTTGCCTTAAAGAAAAGGTGTTGCAGGCAAATGTTGAAGAGGCTAAAAGCAAATGCGTCGAAGTAGAAAATCAAGTTAACGAACTTAACAGTGAACAAAGTGCGGAGAAAGCCCAGGCCAAGAATCCGACACATAGCCTAAATATTTCAGTAACATCAGGTGTAGTTGATATGAGTCATGCCCATCGTCATCATGAGCAAACCTTTCATACAGATGCATCTGTAGTCGAGTGTATAGCTATAAGCAGGCAGCCAAAAGACAGAAATGAATCTGAGGTTTAAGAACCACCGAGGAAAACAATATCTTCCGGGGACTAGAACTGAAATTCCGAGCGTGAACACGAAAGTAAAATCAACATTACCAGAATGCCGGAGGAGCAAAGAGACTGATAATGATAAGAATAAGCTATGTAGGGCACAAAGGCGGAAACTAGCCAGGATGAAGAGAAGATGCAAGACCGAACAGAAAAGGTCGTCTAAAACGATATGTTTGAACTTTTCTCCACTTTCTTGGAAGCTGCGAAGAGGATTAGGTCTCAAACCCGCAAAGAAGAAGAGCAAAACCTTCCCCGCTGATATATCAGAGCCGTTACAAAATCAAAGAAAACTGCCAAGCTAATTAATCGTTTGTGGGCAAAGCTGGCTCTCATATTCAAAAGATGAGCATTGCATCCCAATTTTCCGCAATGACAGGAAATCTCAAAAAGAATAAGCGAACTGTACGAAAGAGGGAAAATGACAGCAATAATTAGAAAGAAGTTGTAATTTTATGTGAAGGTTGGCAGGAGGTACTACAGATACGAGCTATGCTACGCAGTGATCGACGAAAATATCAAGAGACACATAAGGAAGTCATGGGTCACCAGCTTCATGTAGCGCACCCCATCGATCCGGAATGCTACGATTGCCAGGGGGACTATTCAAAGATCTTAGAACAGGCATGCTTACCCATATACGCTACCGTAACTAAGGGTCGATGGGTAAACACTTGTTCTCTTTTTTCTCTTTACGTCAGTTGTTTTTAATGGTATATTCTCAGTTACGCTCGCACACTCTTGCTCTCAATTTAGTTTTGTCCAACATTGTCTTGGATACACTAAGGAAGCTGGTGGCTAGTATTATCTCCATAAGCGATAGAAACAAACTTAATCTGGTAAGGAGAAGGGATATTTCTAAACTCTAAAGGTAATTGAATTCGTCAGGGATTGGGACAGCGATTTCACCACGGAATGCATGTTCGAAGTCTTTGGCCTGCCGGTGAAAAATAGAAAGTCTTCCAAAGGGGGAAGCAAAAAGAAGGGACTCTCCTTGATGCAAAGACTAGAGTTGGGCAATCTAGTTCATGGAGTTTTCCGTTTTTGAAATGGAAGTAGTTTCTGAATATAGTTCAGTTGCTTCACAAAATTCCGATTAGTAGATAGTCTCTCTCTTTCGTCGTTTATTTTGTTATCCCTAGTAGTCTCTACTGGAACTGGACAAGGTACTTGAACCGTAGCAACTCTCTTCTGGGCGGTCTGGCTTTTTATACAGACAGGTCCACAATGGAAGAAGACAAAGGGGCTGTGGCGTCTACTGTGAAAGGCTAGGCATTGAGCTTACATACAACTTGGATAGCAACTGTAGCGTTTTCCAAGCGGAAATCTTCGCGATTTGGAAGGCGGCAGAATTGATAAAAAGTCTGGATGCAGAAATCGTTGAACCGTTGCCTATCTTTGTGGATAGTCAGGCGGCTCTTAAATCCATCAAGTCCTGTAAGATAAAGTCTGAGGTCGTGTTCGAGTGTAGAGCAGTTTTAGAAACACTTACTAAATGTGCTTGGTACTAAGACACTGTGACATCATGGGTAATGAAATAGAAGACGAACTAGCTCGACGAGGTTCTCAATCTAAAGATCTAGGAATCGCTGACTCAATCAAACCACCCATCTGTCAACTTTTTCGGAATTTTGAGGCGTTCTTTTAGAAACGAACCAATGAACTTTGGCACAACGAACCTAAGTGCAATGTAAGCCAAAACAACCGACTCTATTGAACCTGAGCAAAGCTGAATTTAGAGAAATGACAGGAGTTATTATCGGATATTGCAATATCAGGGCCTTTACCATTAAATGGGATGATGTTACTGATTACAGCAGACTGTGTGATGAAGGTTTTATATGTCTTTTCAGTCGATTCATCCGCCGGCGATATTCACCGTTGACGCAGATCGGCCCATATATCTTTCGGAGAATTTTTCTCTTAAACATTCCAAGAGCTGACTCATCTGCTTGCACCAATATCCATGTTTCTGATAGTACCAGAAACTTGTAGAGTGTGAGTTTGGTCTGAATCTGTTGGCAAACACTAATCTCCTCCGAATTTAAAAACCGATGTCATTAGTTTTGTGTATGGCAGTACCAAGGTATATAAAATCGTTGACTACCTCGAAGCTATAGTTCTCAAGTTCCACAGTTGGACCGAATCTACTGGACGTCTTGCGCTTTAATACCATCAGCTGGCCATTTACTGGCAGTACCACTTTGAAACTTGAATAATTAAAGGTCCTCGTTCGTAAAGAGGTATTTTACGACTTTAACTGCTGACCTTGTGCCAGTTCAAGTTATCCTGCATTGCCATATTAATTTTGCAGGATTTGCCGAAACCAGACATGGCTTTAAACAACTTTGAACGGATAGGGCTGTAGAATAGTTCAGCTGGTAATCCATCGGCACCTGCTGATTTATTATTCTTCAGCCGATTTATTGCTTTTCTAACCTCATCGTGGCTAGGTGGTATACAATCTATACCTCCATCTCTTTTTGGCTCCGGTGTATCTTCTTCACCGCCACCCATTGATACAAGAAGCTTTTCAAAATGCTCCATTCAGATCCTTAACACGCTATCTGTATCTGCCACCAGGTTTCAATCTTCATCTCTATAGGAAGATGTACCTGCACCAAATCCTTCGGTTTGTTTTACTCCTTAATAAAATTTCCGTACTTCGTTCTGACTCCTGTACATCTCGATTTGTTATCGCTTACGGGCTTATCAGTCCATAATAAATCATTTAAATCTCAAAATGGGAGTCCATTTTATTGGTATTTGGCAACCCTATGTACAAACTCATCAGTGAAAATTGAGACATCTTCAACGACTCTCCCCGCCAGTATGAGCTCCAAAAACAAAACATAAAAAATGAGCGACTTAAAACAACCAGCCCGCCCAATGTGTGTGTGTGTGGTTGCAACAACAAATTCACACCAATGATTGAGAGAGCAAATGAGGTAAATATATGACAACAACGACGAAAAGAGAGAGACTATAAATAAAAGTTTCAAAGCTCGAGAAGATTCACAACAGACAGAGTCTTCTTCACGCAACGACGACGTAGTTCGAGTTTAAACAAGAAGAAAATAATACAACAAAAAAACAACAACACAATTTATATCAAACGAGTGATAAAAAATAAATTTGAAAAAATTATCAGTTTAAAAAACCAAGCGAATAAAATTGTAAAAAATATTATAAAACAAATAAATAACTTGAGAGTGTACTAAATTAAATAAATTATCAAAAATTGTATTAATTTGTTTAACTATTGTTAGATACCAACAAATAAAATTCAGAATTAATCAAATAAACGGAACTGTTGCTTGACAGTTACGAAAAAACCCCGACGTTTTAAATTGCTGTCAAATAAATATCTTCAGAAAAACCGAAACCAATAACAACAACAGCACTTGAGTAAAACATTTTTTGTTCTTTTGTTTTTATTTACATATTACCTACCTACCTGACTTGCAAACATAATCATCACCTGTCAATTTGAATCTGTCAGTTTGCTGTCGTCGATAACAGCAGCAATCACAAATTGAGATACTCAATCTTCAAGCGATTTCGTCAATCACAAATTTTAATCTTCCGACGATATTTTTTGTTCGGTTTCTTCAGCAGTGCGGTGTTGAGATAAAAAAATATTGAAAAAAGAAAGTTTTTCGGTTTGCTATTTTAACAAAATAAAATAAAAAAATAAACCAAAACACAAAAACATCTTTTGTTTTATTATACAACCCCGTCATTATTATTATTATTGTTAATATTTTATTTTTTGGCATTTGTGTGTGGGTGTTTATTTCCTAAATACCAACTTTGGCCCCATATTTGTAAAAATACAAAAAAATTGACGTCAAAAAGTAATCCCACAACAACTTACGATAAACAAAGTTCAAACAATAAATACAACAACCACAACATTGTAAACCAACTAAAACAACAACAAAACCAACAAAAAGAAGAAAAATAGTTCATTCATCACCGTCATCATTCACAACATGGCTCAAACATTTAACGCAGCGAAAGTTTCATTGGCTCTGTGCCTATTCCTCGCAGTAGCCGGCAACAGTTTCATGTCGGCCCAGGCCTCATCGATACCAATTTGGGAATTTTTAACACGCAATGAGAAGGTGAGTTTTTTTAAAGAAAATGTCGATCTGTGCAAAATATTCGATTATCATTGGTATTAAATTAAAAGACATTTTCGCAAATAAATAAAAGTTGCTTAAAAATATGAATAAAAAAGTGTCAGTTGGTGTTGCCGACCTTTGGCATTTATCCTAACTTTTGTAACTATTTTGGTTTGCGGATGTCTAGTGTAGATGTGGGGGAGGTACCAGAGATGATGGTCCTAAATAGCTTATAGTTGCATTAAATCAATCTAAATTGCCACACAGGATTCAACATTCCAGAAGGAGCGGAACGATGGGTTTCGTATTCGGACTCGATCTAGGTTTAGTAAAAAAATTTACGATGCGCAAAATTTAAGTCAAATCGAACACTTCATTTATTTGATGTTAAAAAAATATATTTCCTTTAAAATTTTGACCATTTTGTGTAGAGGGTACCATTATTCTCATGAATCGTGTGGGTCCCTTTTTGGACTCTGAACGTGTTGCGCATTAGCATTATTTATGTTAATAGTCGGTTAGTCTCAGACAGTTTGTCGTGTGATTTTTTTTAACATCCTGCAAGAAAAGGTCATGCGAGAGGCAAAGGCAACACATATTACTCGCCTACGCCGATATCATCGATATAATGGGTCGAACATTGCGAGCGGTATCAGTCACCTTTGAACAAATTGAGAAGGAGTCTGCCAAAATGGGTCTGGCAGTAAATGACGAGAAGATCAAGCTGATGGTATCAACGCGCAAGACTTCTAGTAGACTCGGACCAACTGTGGAACTTGAAAACCTCAGCTTCTAGGTCGTCAAAGATTTTATATAGTTTGGTACCGCCTAAACTAATGGCATCAGTTTTGAAATTCAGAGATGGAGTCTAAGTAAGCAGCTTAGAAACAAGGTCACTTCCCGCCAGACAATACTCACACTCTACAAGACGCTGATACTATTCGTGCTGTTGTATGGATCTGAAGCATGGGTACTTGCGCAAGCAGATGAGGCAGCTCTTGGAGTGTTTCAGTGAAAAAATTCTCCAAAAGATCTATGGGCCGATCTGCGTTGACGGTAAATATCGCCAACGAATGAACCATGAGTTGTACCATCTATTCTAGGACGTTGGCATTGCCAGACACGTCGAAGTCATGTTGTGAGAATATATGAAGATGACCCAGCTTAAAAATTGGTTCAGATTTAGATATAGCTACCATATATACTTTCGTCCGATTAAAGGTAAATGATGTACCAAAGTCCCTATATATCTCAAGTTCTGAGAAAATATATTTTCTATATATATTTTCGTCCGATTTTAAGTAAATGGTGCACTATAGACCATGCACCATAGCTAGGTCGATTGGCACAACCTACTGAAATTAATAAAAATTAACCTCTGGCATGTTTCCTTGAAATCGGTTCAGATTTAGATAAAGTATTGCTTCCATATATAACTTCGACCTATTTATGTTGATTGTGCACCAAATAATCAATGGATTGATTTTACATTTTAAACAGTGAAGCACACCAAATATCGGGTGTAAAGTATGCTTTAAATCTGTTTATAAAATTTAGAATGGGTGGCAGAATGGCATGTGTTGGGATTGATGTTAGTCGGTTTAGGATACATATGTAGAATATACCCAAAGTGGTGAAGGGTATCATATAGTCGGTCCAGTCCCACTCACAAGCCAGTTAAGTAAGTCCAGTTTGTGATAGGAAAATATTTTTTTTTAGCAATTTTGCTAACCTTTAGTTTGAACTTAGCTGGTTCAGCCACTCAGAAATTGTTTGATCAGCTGCCTGATGAACCGAATGATACTTGGTAGGCGTGGTGGCATTTCGTCATCGGTCTCCTCCTAATCGTTTCTATAACATCAGTTTCTAGGGGTTTCGTTAGCGATATGTCTCGGTCCGGTATCAGAGTTTCACACGGCGTACCTATTTTTATACCCCACCTTACCTTATGAGGGTATAAACACATTGATGCGTCATTATCGGAATATTGATTTTAGACCCCATGTTTCTTTGGACCAAATGCGTTTCAGACAGCCCAATTTAAAAATCGGTGAACTCTTTCCGGTACCTCCCCCACAAAATTACAGTTTTTCTTTTTAACAGACAATTATTTTCAATTTTGGTTTCGTTGATTCCTTCAGGAATTTTTGATTTTAAAGATACACCTCGCACAGGTAGGCCGGTCGTCGAAAATGTCGATAAAATCGGAGAAATGATCGAAGTTGACCGGCATTTTAGGAGTCGTAACACCGCCCAGGAGCTACAAATGTACCATAAACTGACTAGAATTGGCTAACAGGATAGGTGTCGTGTTCCACCAGGACACACACATCTACAATGACTCGCCACAAACTTCGGGAGCTTGGTTGAGAAGTTTTAATGCATCTGCAAAACAGTCCGAACTATGATTATCATATTTTTCTTGCATTGTAAAATCTACGGACGATTGTGAAAATCAACTACTAGAGTTTTTTTGCAAATAGAGAGCAGGACTTCTACGGGAGAGGCATTATGAAGTTTCCTTTAAAATGGCAACAAATTATACAACAAAACGGTGCATATTTATTTGGCCCAAAATAATGACCTTTAGTTTATATAAAAATAATGGATTTCTTTTTCCCCAACCTAATAATTAATCTGATCACGAATATTATTTTTGTATACAATTTCTACAGCATTTTGCAGTATTGAATTGTTTTTTATTTTTTCAATTTAGTAAATAAACACAATTTGAAATTGATAATACTCAAATTCCAAATAAAATTCCGCATTTGTATTTTTTTTTTTTTTTTTTTTTTTGCAAAACCTAATATTATTATATCCAACACACATGCGGCTCTGCTGGAATTTTTCAATACATTTTTCGTGTTGTTGCATGAGGTTTTGTTTTTTCAAACGAAAATTCATAGACAAGTTTGTTATTAATAAATAAACAACAACAATAATAATAACAACAACTACAAAACAAAACACGGTTATAAAAATTAACAGGATTTTTATTGGCCTTTATTAAATATTCAATAACAATGCCGGCAATAATATGCGTTAAATAAAAACAAAAAAATAATACGAATTGTTAGATAAATAATAAACAAACAAAAAATTCAATGAAAAACCTCGTCACAGAGGCTGGCGTTAAATTAAAATCTCAAAATTAGGGGGATCACCGATCGATATCGAAATTATCAGCATCGTTATCATCATTCGTGGCATAGCCACAAATTTGCTGGAACATTTCAATTATTGTTTTGTTAACAAATTTTTATTGTTTAATTTCAATATTTGTTTATTTTTTGTTGTTGGCACACAGTATCGATAAACCAATTTTTAATAAGCTGTGAAGTTTTCTTTGCTGGCTATAATTGAGAGGAGATTGTAAACGTATCCATCAATTTGGAATGGAAGCGATGCGCTTCTTACACTCAAGGAAATCGAAATGCTTGACCATGAATTTGTTAACTATACAATTTTATTATTTGGAAATGAAAATATGAACATATGTTCTTTTCACGCCATTGATAATTAATTATATAATTATATAATAAAAATGTTTTTTTTATATTAGAAACAAAATTATGCTATTAATAATGAAATTCGAATACATACAGTATGTCAAAAATGAGTTTACACATTGAATAAATGACATTTTTTAGTAATAAATGTAAATATTTCTTTATACAATTTTGTTTTATAAAATGTAAAAGAAATAGAAATTTCATTAAAAAATATAAGAAAAAAATATTCAATTTCAACACTGTCAATTAGCTCTTTTCACATGACGTAAATGTTAAGTTTATGGCATAATAATATTATTATTGAACACGCATTTTCATAGTTTTTATATTTTGTATGTCCGCCCTTTGATTATACCAAACATTGTAGAGGTTTTTTTTTAATAGAGTGGGCTAAGTCATAATTGTTCGGAATGTTGTGCCACTCATTCAATATTGAAGTTTTCAATGCTTCGATATTTTTATATCCTTAGCCTTACCCTTAGCAATAATGGTACATACACATTGATACGGTAAAAATGTGACACATCGAAATATTGGTTTTAGACCCCATGTTTCTTTGGGCCAAATCCGTTTCAGATAATTTGGAGTCGATTTACAAATGTCCGTCCGTCTGTCGGTCTAGCCGGCTTGTACGCACGAAGGCAGTATCTGATTTCATCCAAACTTTGCAGATCGTAATAATTCTTTCAAACTTAGTTCAAGTTCGAAGATGGGGAATATCGGTCCACTCCTTTTGTTACCTCCCCCGCAAAATGGTAAAAAAAATAATTTTGTATTATCATGCGAACGGACTATCCGATTTGAACCAAACTTTGCACAACCTATTATATTTACTAAGCCTAGATCAAGTCCAAAGATTGGACCCATTGGTCCGCTCCTTCTCGTACCTCCCCCATAAAAGGTCAACATTTTCAATATTTGTAAATCCAATATCAAGCGAATGGTATGGCCGATTGGAACCAAACTTTGTACATCCTATTATCTTTACCAATATTAGATCTAGTTTGAAGATGGGACCCATTGGTCCACTCCTCCTGGTTCCTTCCCACAAAGGGTCAAAATGTTCAAAATTTATAAGTCCAATGGTATGCCCGATTTGAACCAAACTTTGCACAACCTATTATCTTTACCAAGCATAGATCAAATACGAAGATGATAACCATTCGTTCACTCCTTCTCGTAGCTTCTTTGCCAAGGGTCAACATTTTCAATGGAATGTCCGATTTAAAGCAAAATTTGCAGAACATATTATCATTACCAACTATTGATTAAGTCCAAAGTTGGGACGCGTCTGGTCACTCCTCTGGTACTTCCCCCCAAAAAGGGTCTATATTATAAAAACTTATATATTTTATTTGAAGCTAATTTGATCAAAATTAAATCCGAAACCTCTGTGATAAGACCATATACCTTATATAAAACGAATAGTAAAACATGCGTGTAACTCCGAAGATCTCCGCCAACCATAGGCTGAGGGTATATATT